ACACTGGATCATGCCATCCCAAAATGATTTATATATTTTCTGAAAGCCCTTAAAATTTTGCATCGTGTAAGGAATTACTTTAAAAGACTAAAGCACCAGCGACAAAAGTTTGTCCATGGTACAAAGGCTTGGGGGTTCAGGGCTCTTTCTGTCCATTCCAACCCATGGTCAGGGTGATGCATATTTTATGTTCGTCGTAGTCACAAATACGAGTTCATATTCGTAATCGGCATGAAAAACTGAATATGAATATGTTATTTGGTTGAAGGTAAAGTTAATCAGGGTAAAAATATGCTACCGAATACAGATAACTGGAGTATCTCTCAAAGCATATATTTATAGGCTTCTTTGTAAGCCTATCTAGTTTTTTATGAGCAAATCTGAAACCGAGTTTTATATCTTATTTAGGATTACTGGACTGTTACCTTCCAAATTACCTATGCAGCTTCTTTAAATTGCTTTTATTTTTTGAGAAAATTCGATTGCCCTCAATGCTTATCGGAAAAGCATACAACATTCTTAAAATTGTGTACATACCTGATAGCTTTTATTGTAATAGATTATTCTAATACCTAAATGAATAGCATATTCGAAATCAGCGTGAAAAACTACGTCGAATAACATATATTTTAGAAAAAAATTTTTTCCATCAAAAATCGCCCCTGTGGTCCCTCTCAGGACTATTTTTCTCAAACTTCGTCCGTGGTCCCCTAGGGGGTGATTTTTGATGAAAAACAATTTTTTCAAAAATATATGCCATTCAACGTAGTTTTTCACGCTGATTTCGAATATGCTAGTCATTTAAGTATTAGAATAATCTATTACAATAAAAGCTATCAAATATGGACACTACTTTTTCAGTTTTATATGTTTTTCCGATTACCATCTAGGAAAATCGAATTTTCTCACAAATAAAAAGCAATCTAAAATACATTCATACTTAATTTTGAGGGTAAGAGTCCAATCATTGTAAATAAGACATAAAACTCGATTCCAAAGTTTCTTATGAGAGACCAGACAGGCTTCTAAACAAATCTCTAAATATATACTTGGCGATATACTCCAGTTAATTGTAGTCGATAGGATAATTTACACTTGATTAACTTTTCATGCAATGAAATAACATTTTCATGCTTAGTTTTTCATGTAGATTACGAATATGAAGTCACATGTTTTATTCCGATGGACAAAAATAATTTAGTATCCTAATTACGGGGCAGAATTAATAGAGATGGTCATCCCCCCCTGACGTTTGTGCCATGGACAAACTTTTATCGCTGGTGCTTTAGTCTTTTAAAGTAATTCCTTACACGATGCAAAATTTTAAGGGCTTTCAGAAAATATATAAATCATTTTGGGATGGCATGATCCAGTGTGGCTAGAGTCAAAGTACTAGAAAATCGTGATTTTAGCTAATAGTCCTTTTTACTCGTATATTGGGATTATCACTTGATGAATGGCATTGTAGAACATAACCAATTATCAACTTTTGTAGAAAAACCATTTCTGCATCTTTTGAGACGTGCCGGAACTCGAATGAATGAGCAGATGCAGAGAAAAGTATAAAATACTAAGGTAACCCTAAAAAACTGCCTTTTTTGTAGGTTTCGGAGGGTGTATCACTTGTATACTATGCTATTTTTCATAGGAAAGTCAGAAAGAGCTAATATTTTGGATTTGTCTATGGTTTCACTAGACCTTTCATTTGAGATACCTAAATCGAAAATCAAAATTTTGTCGGCGGCCGGCTCCTGATAAAGTTGCTAAGTGCTCTCACGAACCCTCTCTTAATACTTTGGTATTAGCATTGAATTAAAACTAATACCAAATTTGCCTTATTTAATGCATTTTCCGTGAGCATTAGTATTAACTGATGATATTTTTAATACTAATACTAATTTATAACTAATGACAAACTGTAAATTAACTCTTTCAATACTAACACAAAAGAATTAAGGTATTTTTTTTAACTCTAATGCAAAAGTATTTTAAAAAGTACTAAATTAATGCAATGGTAATGCTAAGCCAGCACTCCTATAAGAAAAAAACAGAATAGACATCTTGAATGTTCTCTTTTGGGCTCTCTCGCATGTATTTAACACTATTATTAAATATTTTTCTCAAATTGTTCTGTTAAAAAATAGATAATCAACTTGGTGTCATCTTCATTTTTCTTGCGAATAAAAAAAGTGTCATGAATAAGAACGTAGGTGAAGTTAGCCTCATATTCGAGTAATTCCAGCCGATATTCGTTCAACAAGGTCCAGTAACTGTTCCAAAGAGTTCCAGAGTGAAACTTGATGACCTCTATCGAATGGTAATCTTGGATTTTCCATATATCATACCATTCGTGCAAAAAACTCAAAATACTGATTTTTCACCATGGGGAAATTATGACATGATTAGTAATTCCAGCCGATATTCGTTCAGGAAGATTCTGTAACTGTTCCAGATAGTTCCAAAGTAGAACTTGATGAGCTCTATCAATTGGTAATCTTGATGTTGCCATAACTCAAAGCATGTGTAAGTAGAAAGAAATGCTGCCTTTTGTCTATTGCATCTTTTGAACTTTTCCAGTAAAAGTTGACAGGTTTCCTCTAGAAATGTATTCTAAAAGTTTTAGACTGACTTAAAGTACAGTTTGACGAGCTCTATGTGATGGTATGCTTATATTTTCTGTAGCTGTTACCGTATGACTACAATGAATATATATGAATTTAGTAGATTCTAACTCTGGAGGTAAATTCGGTGACTCTGTATGAGCAAGATCATTTGTCTCGAAACTTCCACTAAGAAATTTGATTTGGCTCAGACTGGTAATAAGGAATCGCTCAAAAGTATTTTTCTGCAGAAATAGTAGCTGATAAAGCGTTGGGATGGTATGCTCTCATGGGCGATTACTAAATATGCTAAATACAAGACAATATGTATGATTAGTTACCTGACTGAATCAACTATGATGCTGCGTTGTACATCATGGAAGTTCATACTGACCAAAACTGGTATTTTAGTCTCCGGATCGTTGATAATGGGATGGCTAATGTCGACGAAAAGAAGTACTGGATATCCATGGACAATATGTGAAGGCTGAGCAATCACTTGAGCATTACATCGCCAACAATCTCTATAAAATGCAATTGTAATGTTGTTATTAGAAAATATTATTATTAGGAAATATTCTTATGCTTACTTCTTTTTCGTTTGTTTTGTATGAACATTCTTAATTTCTCTTGTATCTTTTTTATATCCGAGTCGGACTGCCTCCTTGTATGATACTTCATGTAATAATTTGATAAAATAAGGACAAGACGACGTTGTTTCATGTGAAAAATGTGAAACATAAGTTTCCCAACATCCAAATACTAGCAAAATATTTTTTTTTACTTAAATAAGTGCATGAACCACTTACTCAAGGGCTAGTTCGGTAGTTCTAGAAGTACGTTCACGTTTTGGACAATTTTTCCGAGCACATGTACTTCTGGTTTCATAAAGTTGAAGGAGATATTTGATAAAACGCAATAAGTTTCCATCAACAGAGCCATATATACTATGTTCATTTATCTGTTTATGGTTAATAACATTTTGACTCGTTAGCCAGTACAATCTAGCCTCGTCCCAGCCGTCCGATTCGACTAAAGAGAAAGTCTTACGGAGCGAGTGGAACGGTTCGTTGTCAGAGTTTAAAATAATATTTTGTATTTCCGGCTCTGTCGAAAATATAAAGTAAATAGCACATAGAGGAGCATCAATATTGCATGTATTCGTTACAGAATAGTTATGGCCTGAAAAGAACTAATTCATATTTTATAGATTAAAAGAGCAAAAATATTGAACCTTCGAAAATTTTATTGTTTATTCCAAACGCTGGCCAAAGAAGTGGACATTGATCAATCATCACAATCTTACGAACTCGACGCACTGGTGACGAATCAAGTGTTTCAATAGCTTTAGGTAAAGAAGCTTGCAAAATACGAGCACTTTTTCGTGTTTTCGCTACAAAATAGTGGATACACATATTTATAAAAGGGAGAGCTCTTCTAGGTGCATACCGTTTTTGTTTTGATTTTTCTCCTCTTGATGGCTAATTTCAACATTTTCTTTTTGAGTATTTTCATTTTGAGGAGCATTGAATACTATTCTCGCAGCTGGCAAAGAATTTCACATATTCTCAACGTCTAAACTTGAAAAAATATTAGTTGGAGACATTGATGCATTTGCTGTCTGAATCATCTTCACATTTTCGAAAGAGATCAGATTGTTCAAAAAAGTCGTCTCACAGAACGGTTTTACGCCCTGTGGAGGTGTAGAAGTACATGAATTGTGTAATAAGGCTGGATTAGATATATCTTTTAATATATTGCTGGTCTTCTTATTCACATCAGTAGAAATGTAAGATGGTTTTTCAGGCGAAGTCGGCTTTTTTAGAGATTCAATCGGCTTAGACTGTAGTCGTTTTATCTTATTTTTATCATTTGGATTTAAATATGTATTTCGATTTTTTTTTTGAGCCCTCTTCTTTCCCCAAGGCTCCACTACATTTACATTTTTAGGTTTTCCTTGTCGATTTTTTACATTTTGACGAACTCCAAATTTATCTGCTTTTAATTGGGCCTGGATGCTACGATATAGGGACACAATCACCTCTGCCGGTCGCAGGTGTGTTTTCTTTCAAGAATAGAATCTTTTAGGACACCAAAATAGGATTCTATTTGAGTGTTTGATAGACGACCTTGTTCATATGCACAAACATCAACTGATGTTCGATCACTGGAATATCGTTCCTCAAATTCGGTAAGCAAAGATGTCCATAAGGGTAAATAAGCAAACCACTTATAAAACACCAAAATAATTTTACGACAAAAAAATGGAATCGTCAAATTTTCATACGTTTTTTTTGAATCCAACGACTCCGAGAGCTGAGGGAATCGACGAACGGCTTCGATATTAAATGGTGATTGATGAATAATGGCATTACTGTCGTGTACATTCTCATCTACCTCATCTAAAGGATCAACTGATTCCTCATCTACCTCTATCTCACACGAGCCACTCTTGTCAAGTATAGTTTCATCATCATATGGTGCTTCTAGAAATTTCTGAAGAATATCCTCCGCATCAGTAGCTTGTGGGTTTTCGAACACGTGCAAAACGCGTTTTAAAAACTTAAATGGCATTTCCAATTCACCACAATTGATGAACAAAGCAAAAATGTGCAATGCTTTTTTTCTTATGTCTTTCGCTACTTTGGCAGCTGATAAACTTCTAGCAAAGGCATTCATCATATGAGAATAGCAAAAGCGCAAAAATGACCGAGAACGAATTTGTTTCGCATCATATTTCCGTAAAATGACATTCCAGCATTGTTCTAAATGACCACGAATATCTTCATGATTGAATGCCTGTAAAATAGCATTAAATATAGCTGGAGAGAAATCTGTGACAAAAAAAGAATGTCGAATAACTTTATCTTTGATGGTAACGATATGTTGTCGAAGACTACCAAGAAAATAGCTTATACTCGTTGCCGTGTGATCAGCAAGGATAGCGTGTCCCATAGGAATTACGTTCGTTGGATCATTTCCATCTTTAAAAACAGCTCCATACATTAGAACTGTCTTTTGATGTGGTAAACTCTTCACTATCGATCCAGTTGCATCGATGTATACTTGTGAGTAGATATTATTGGTACAATAACGAATATAACGTAAAATTTGCGCTTCTGATGTAAGATGAAGACGAAACGGCTTCTCTCCCATAGCCTGTACATAACCTTTTATTTTGGTGGAAGTTATATCGATATCTTCAAGTAATTGTTGCCTAACTCGACATTATCGGAAAATATCTTCGTCCAGTTGAAAATTTTTCCGGTAATCTGCTGCTGCATGTTTAATAACTTCCATAGACTCACATCCGGTAAAATTACGAGCGGATAACATTTCTTCATCAGCATTTTCTACTTTTTGTTGTAAGACTTTTAAGCAGCCGATGGCACTGGCTGCCTTTCCAACTTCAAGTCTAGCTTTTCCAGTTAAATGTCGTACTATTGCCTTTTCATCTGCACTATGGTCTTCGTCTCCACCAGCTCGTATATGAACAACAATACTATCTCTATATATTGGTTCATCTCTGATAAAAACTTCAAATGTTCGCTTGCATGAAGGCGTCTTACACGTGGCTATACAATGAGAAAAAGAAGAATTTATTTTATGTGACTCTTCAAGGCTAACATGATGATTTTTAAGAGCTAAGGTACAACGAAAATTACATGAACGCACTTTCTCAGACATCATATCTGTCCAACCTGGTACCATTTTACGTGTGGAGCTGTTGTAAATGTCTTTCCAGTCTTTTAAAGTCAAGATGAATGATGCCTCAACTATTGTTGATGTGTTCGATTCCTGTTCAACTGTCGAACGAGTCTGTGCATGTGGAGAAGACTCATCGGACGCTGTAGACTTATTCACAGATTTCGGTAAAAGAAGCTCGACTTTATTTTCTTTATCTGATTTATGAACTTTTTCAACTGAATCCTGATGACTTTCGAACAGAACATCTGCACTTTTTTGACGATTTCGTCGCCAAACATTATACAAAGATTGACGTATGTTTTCTGTTTGATTTAATTTCAATTTCGATATCAAACGGCTCCAAATAGATTCTTTAGAACGGGTGAAATCATTAAAACGCCATGTTTCCTCATCAAGTTGTTTTTTATCAGATCCTAATTCCTTAACAGCCGATATAAATTGCTTTCGAGTAATTTGATCCCAAATAGTTTGTTTCTTTTCTACTTCCTTTTCGTTTGACTGTTCATCTAAGTTATCTTCCATTACTTGCTTAGATGACTGATCATCTGATGAACTATCTTCTATATGTTGTGTTGATCTTGATTTAGATTTATTTTTTACTGATGAGGTGAATGGAGTCTTTCGTTTCATTTTTCAATATAAACAAACTTATAAACAACCTTAACTACTCTATTTGTACTCCCTGTAGAATATAGATTAATTAAATCGACGAATGATGACGTATGTTGCAAGATGAATGATATTCAATTTATTCTTCCTCCTTATATACTCATCTTAGTCAATCTTTTTTTTCTCGTCCTTTTCTCTTTCTCATTGGATATGAAGCATCAAATAATTGCTCATTGCGTCCCATTTTCAAATGCGAAAGAATTTTTCGTATAAAAAGTTTAAAAACAAAACATAAATACAACTTGCGGAGAGAATTATACCCAGTATCAGCTCTTTCACCTTTGACCATAATGAATTTACTGTTTATTTCTTGTTTTGAGCTAACTTCATTATGCTTGTATATATGGCTATCTAATAACAAAATATTAGTTAATAAGCTTTTATAACTATTTGAGTAACAATCAGCTATTGATAATCTGAAATATGTCTAGATGAACAATTGTTTGATATCAAGCACTCTTTTAAGATTACCAGCGTTAATTAATATATACTTATAGCTCTTTGGATAATATTCAAAGATATTTATTTCTCAATGCAATTCAAGATATTTATTGTTCAATTCAATTCAAAGATATTTTTAGGACAATATGATTCAAAGATACTTATTACTGAGTCAAGTTTATATATATTGATCATTGGATCAAATTCATAAACATCGATAGTTGAACAATATTCATTGATATTTATAATTCAATATGATCTATAGCTATGTGAGCGTCCGAAGCATCTGAAAAAAGACTAAACTCGCGCTTTTAGACTTAATAACGAACACATTAAATCGTGAGAAAAAAAAGTTTGATATAGATATTTTATTAAACAATTTAATCCATTGAATATTTAAAGATTGATCGACATTAATGGAGGAGGATATACGTTACTTTGAAAACGATGAGAAATATTTGAAAACGAGGAAGAGTATACCATTTTGTTTTGTTGTAGATAGTTACGAATGGTTGCCTCCATTATTTCGACTCCATATCTCGATGGATGTAGACCGTCGTACATGCATTGAATTGGTATTGCTGGTTGAATAGTATCAAATTTCTTCTTAGCAGCCAATTCGAGTAGAAGCCTATTACATATTTCAATTTCATTTAAAACTGCCTGGCCTTCAGGTAAAAGCCAGGTCTTTCGTGTGTGCTGTTGAAGAAGCTGCCAAACAATATTTACGTCGGGATATAAGCGTCGAATTTTTTCGATTGTATAATCAATACGTTCAACTGTCTGAAAAGCTCCAACTCGATGAATATCATTTGTGCCAAGTATGAAAATTAATTGATTGACATTGCGCATAAAAATTTGATCGTCCGGGGATTCTAACCAAATTAGAGCATCAGCAGAATCGCTACCTGATTTAAATCTAAGACGCACTTCATTCGTTTCATTTTCTATGCTTTTTACTGATATATTTCAAGCGATTGACGAACCAACTATAGCGATAATCAATTTATTTTCCATTTTTTGCTCTTGATTATGTCTTTTAATTTCTTCTACATGTTGTTGATGATGACGTACAGGTAATGGACCATGTTGAAGACGACGTTGTTTTTTCTTTTGACGCAATCGGTAAAAAAACCGTGCACGATTACAATGTTGTTTTTGTAGCTGTTGTTGATGATGTGGAGAATGGTTGAAAGATTGATTTTCAAATACCATTGGTAACATGAATTGAGACGAAGTAGACGGTTTATCATCAATATGCATTCCTTGCATCATTTTTTGCACTTTGGCTACCGAAGCTGTGTTTTTGACATGATATTAAGTTTTTTTATATGAAAACGATCACATTATGTTTTTTCTCTTACAATTTGGTCTTATATAGTTTTTAAAATAATCAAACCAATTTGTTTCAAAGATTATTTTCATTCTCATTTTCAAGATGTTCGTATTTTCCTCAGAGACACCAGATGATACACGCAGATAAAAACAAAACAAAGTTGTTTAATTAATGTTTATTTGTTTGATCGACATACATTTCACTTGCATATATGTCTGAATTGTCGCTTTTCTCTTTTCTCTTTTCAATTAGCAATGATGTCATCCTTTGATTCCTAATCGGTGTCCATCGTGGAAAAAGCAGCAGACGAATAAAGAATTGTTAAATTGAATAACACATAACTTAGTCACGCTACGCAATAATACCCCCTATAGTGGCAATCTGTTAAGCTTAATCTGTTCACAGCATCTACTAAAATTTGACACGCTTAATAATTCCATTTTACATTTTCTCTCTCTCTCTCGAAAAATTACACGTAAACGTTGCGATATGATTTCATTTCATCATTCTATTGATTCTTGTCTTCCACATTACATTAATTCATCATTACTATTGAGAAAAATAGCTGCTTCAATCTTTAAATCGACAAGTGAACGTTTGAACATTCATCTCTAGAAGGTTTGAATCGTGTATAAAAATAGTGACAACAACAATTATGCTGTTGTTCGCACGCCGTCACTCGATATTGAACCTCATCATCATCGTCTTCAATCTTTTTACAAATGTTTATTCACTTCCAATTGATAACTTATCAACTGCTCAACCAAAAGAAACTATATATAATCAATTACTTCACGGACAGCCGTTAATTATACATGAACCAAGTGGAGTCGTTTTCAGTCGAGTTGGAGACTATCATGGTGTAGATGATATTTTTGCATTGACAGTTACCGTACCAGTTACTCAGTATGCATGTTCGATTTTACCTATGAAACAAGTAGAAAAGTTGAGGTTATGTCTTGAGTATCAGGACTCGCTTCGTGCCAAACTTGAGCAGGATGAAATTGCCAGTCATTCTTCTATTTCGGATTTCTTGAATGCAACCAATAACACTCGATTTTCTGTTGAGAAAGTGCCTACGAAAACTCATCGTCACCATCATCGTAGTAAGCGTTTTATACCGCTCATTGTTGGTGTCGCTGCCGGTGTTCTTAGTGTACTTTTTACAGGAGGTCTTAGTATTTTCAATACTGTCAAAACTTCACAATTGAATCGTCGAGTGACAGAAATTCAGAAAAGTCTAGTTGATACTAACCATCAGTTGCATAGCTTAGAACTTTCCGTATTGACTAATACGAATAGTACACTTCAACTAGCACGTTCTTTTAATAAAGCTCAAGAAAATATGGAGACGATGAGAGCTAACATAGAAGCGTGTCTTCTCATTTGCGAACATAAAATCGAAATTCAAAATCTGTTAAATTCAATTTCAGTTGTTTTTTAAATTTAATTTATTCAAATTCAAAATAATCTTAGGTTTCAAATTTTCGGTTTTCAAATTTAAAAAAAATTACTGACAACAATTTCAATACGACTTAAACTTTCAGTTGTGTTTTTAAACTTGCTGAAATTTGTAGAGTTCGCTAAAGATTGAGTTTCATTATTTCAATTGAACTAGCTGTAATTTGTAGAGAGCGCTAAACTACAATAGTGCTTCTTTTCTTTTTAATTACTGCAATTTATAGAGTTCGCCAGACATAATTGTTACTATGAACGGCGTCAGCTGTTTTTTATTTTGAATAGACTATCTAATAATGATTATAAAATGGAATCAAACATTGAATGGAGACAACTGATTGGGGTGCAAAACCATTTATGCATAAAAATCAAAAAGACAAAAACATTGTTCTAAAAAAGACGGCTTGGAAATATAGATGTTGATGAGCGTCTTCTCTTGACGACCACAGCTCGATCCGTCCACACAGCATTCGGAACAAACATCGATTATCACAACAAATTATGATACAATCTCCTTAAAAACTGACTTTGTCTTTAACTAAAATCGTTCTTAGTTCAAACCTAATCGACGATCCTTGCT